GCCGGTGCTGTCCTCCTAGCGGCACCTTCTTGCTGGCCTACTAGGATTCGCTTCGCGGTGCGTCGATTGGATCGGCATGCGGAATTGCATGGCCAGCGCCGTGACGAGCGCGTTGGCGTCGCTCTCGCTGTCTTTGGCGAATTGGCCACGGACCTCGATGTGCTTGATCGTGCCGTCGCAGAACTTGCGCAGCGAGTCGTCGATCCCGTGCAATCTTCCGCGATGATCCCCCGCGGCTTCTTGATCGGACCTCCCTTCTTGGTGTTAGTGCCGTGGGCGGAGCCGTCGGAGTGAATGGCGCGCGGGGGCTGCATCTTTAGTGCGTCTGCGGTGTAGTTCTTCGTGTGGTCCTATCCGTCGCAGTAGCGGGGCCACTCGAACGGGGCCGCGAGCTGCTTGCCGAACTCCTTGCGAAGGCGGTGCGTTGACTTAAGGGACAGGTCGATCATCTTCGCGGATAGGTTCCTGTCTGCTTGTAGCTGCGCAGCTCTGCTTGGGTCGATCTTGAGGGCGATGCGCTGCAACGCAGTCCATGGTGCACGTGGAAAGGCGGCGTGTACTCGAACGCTCTCCCCAGCTTGCAAGTTCTTCCTGATCGTGCCTCTAGCTAGTTCACTGTAACCCTCCGTGAGAGATCGTGACCTGTAAGTCCACAGCGCATGGCTGTTCCTCCATTCGTCTCCCTCTTAGCGCTGAGCTTGCTGTCGGGGTTGCAGCACCACTCGTAGAGGGTGGTCGCATTGTTGTTCGATACCGGGCCCGGGCGCGTAGCTGACTTGGCCCAATCGGTCTTGAGGGCCTGGCTGACCGCGTGCGGCAGGATGCTTCTCTTGTCAGTGGCCGATCGCTCGCCGGAGATGAGCAACGTCTTCGTCCCCTTCTTGCGGCTTCGCATTATCATCAGCTCCTCCTCCACGATGTTGACATCCTTCGGCTTACTGTCGTTGTCGGTGTCTAGCGCGACCGGATGGCCGAGCGCGCGCTCGGGGCAGAAACCGAGTTTAGGCTCTCATCGTGGGGCCCGACGCTGATGCATGTGGTCGTCGGCTCCAGGGGCGCCGCAAATGTAGGCGGCGTCGTTGCCGTAGAGCAGCGGGCCAGAGCAGATGCCGCGGCGGCCGTGAGCCGTGGCCCGGCGACTCGACGCGATTGAAGTCGCCTTGGTGCGTTCAACTCCTTCTCGGGGATGAACTCGATGATGGGCTCGACCAGGGGGTCCGCCATGCTCGTCGTGTTGGCCGTAGGTAGCGAGGCCGCCCTGTCGTTATTGGCAGCCTTGGGTTCGGCGATCTTCGGGCCGAACACGTGGCCCGCATCCTTGATGGCGAGCCGCTCCTCTGGATGGAGGTAAATCGCGGGGTGCCCCGCGCTGCTGGCGATGAGCTCCTGGAGTGGGCCCCGATGCGCATCTGCTCCATCCAGATCGCGATGTCGATCTTGGACGGCTGGCTGAAGTCCCGGCCGAACAACGGGCCGAGCGCGGCGCTGTCCGCGACGCTGAATGCGACGCGGCCAGCGCGACCGCGTCGCGCGAGCGGGGCGGTGACGCGCAGCTTGCTCGGGGGCGCGAGCCCGAAGAGTTCGCCCTCGGACCCCTCCGGGATCTGGTCGGCGAGCCCCATCTTGGCGAGCCTGTGCCCTCCGTGCGCCGCCCGAGCCCGCCAGCGCAGAACGGACAGGCGGTGTCAATCACACCGATGCTGTCATCGTTGAGCGTTTCGCCCGTCTTGGCGGCGTTCGCGGTGGCCACGTCGGGCGCCGCGCGCACGGGCGCCGGCGTCTCGGGTGGCGGAGTGGCCGGGCCTTCTGGATGTAATGCCACCTCCTCGTCGCCGAGCTCCACGCGCGTCTGGTTGGTGACATGCTCGGTGATGTTGGCCTGGCGGTGCGAGCGGCATCCGGCCCCATCGTCCTCCGCCCCTCTGCCTGTTCATGGGGGCGCTCTTGCGGGCGCCCGGTGCCGGGCGCTCCTGGTCGCCTGTCCAGTGCCCCTTCTCGCCGCAGTCCCAGCGCTGCGAGGTCTTCTGGCGCTGGTCCACGCGGCCTTGGAGGTTCCCGCCACCGGGTCGGCGCTTCGGCGCGCCCTCCCCGCGGCCCTCGATGGCCTCTCGGGCCGACCGAATGGTCGCCATGGCCTCGGGAATCGCGGCGAGCTCCGCCGCGGCGACCCCCGCCTCGGCGGAGTCGTCGTCATCGAGCGCCTCGCCGAGGTCGGAGTTGGACCGCTCCAGCTCAGCGCTGACGGCTTCGAATTCCTGACTAACGGCGTCCTGGGCGTCGGCCTCGGCGTCGCCGTCGCCCTCCGACTCGCCCCTGTCGCCCTCGGGTTCGTCGACGACATTTGCTGACCGAGCTCGGTCTGATGATGAGCGCTGCCAACTGCTGTTGGAGCGCTGCGGCCACGGCCGCGACGGCACGCTGGCGGTTCGCTCGGACGAGTGGATGTCCGGCAACACTCGCGCGAGCCATCCTCGGATTCGCTGGAACGAATAGTGTTCGCCCGCCAGGTTGCCCACAACGCGTTCACGTCGTTCTGCTGCGAGTCCCGCTTTCCGCAGCGGGAACCAACCGGCGACGTCGTCCAGCGTGGCGAGGTCCACCTCGTTCTCGCGATTCTGTTGAAGTCCAACCTCGAAGCGTACGAGCCAGTCTGTCATGCGTTCTCCTTTTTGGGGTGATGCTGTGTCAATTCGAAGAATTTATCGAGCGTCCCCCCCTTCTACACAAGCTTTTGTTGTCCGGGGTTTGCCTCGAGATGCTTGAGCGCGTTCTCGATGCCTTTATGGTCTCGATCTCGCTTCCTGTCGGCGGGCTCCTCAATGTCCTCTGAGGGCTGCGGGTGCAGATCTTCCTCGTGCATGTTGAGCGCGGCCGACCGCGAGGTGCCCGTGAGCTTGAGGACCAACATTGGTGCAAGGCTCTCGTCACTTCAAGATTCTCACTGAGCTTCCACATGTTACATTCTTGCTTATAACCTCGCCACTTCGCAAAATCTCCGTCCCGACTTGGTATAACTGTCTGGTTGTAATATTGTTGCGTCATCTTGCCACTGAAAGCCGAAAAAAGATGGTCGCTGGTACCCGTAATTAAATAGAAACTAATCGATTCAATGCTGAGCTTGTCGAAAGAGGTGTCGGCGCTTGCCGAGTCGAAGAGCTGGTACACGATGTCGCTTACACTCGTGTAGTACTTGGCGTCGCTGCAGCTGGTCACAAAGAACAAATCATGGATGAAACTGCTGTCGGCGATTGCTGTGTAGGAGTGCTGGTAGATGGTCGTGTCCCTGACAATCGCATTGCACCCGGCGTCGCTGACGCTGTTCACGAAGGTGAAGTGGGGAATGAAATCGCTGTTGGCGCTTGCCTCTGCAGAGAACTGGTCGGTAGTGGTGTCGCTGACACTCATATTGGGCTCGGCGTCGCAAGCGCTGGAAATGTAGAGCATTGCGCAGCAAACCAACAGGACGCGGCTGGCCGTCGATTCCGTGGGCTGACGCGTCGCGGACGCCGTCGTGGAATATGTAAGGCCCGAAGGCCGGGGCAGCGAGCCTCGCTCCAAACTGCCAGTGCGATATGGATGGGCGCGCGGCGCCAAGATATCTTTTACTGTCTCACGCGGTGAGGAGAGAAGCGTACCTCTCAGGCCAGAAGGCCCTGCATAATATAATTGAACCGAGATAGCGGCGGGAGTAAAAGGTGAGAGCAGCAAGGGCCAAGGCAGGGAAGAAGCGGGGATCTCGGTTTCTGCGGGGCCTGTATCTGTCTGACAGGGCCCCTCGGCCCCTCTTGCAAACCCTCGGGGGAGAGCTTGAATCACAAACATATCCTTGCGAAGACGCTTTCCTTTCCTGCTGAGGTTCGGCGACTTCGAAGGGTGTGGTTTGCAAAGGGGCGATTGGCAACTGGCACCCTGGGAGGCAGCCTGGGGGGCGGGCGGGGACCCCGACAGAGCTGTCCGCCGCGCCCCGAGGAGGCCCGACCAAGAAACGTCGTGCTCCCTGAACTCCAACGGTGCCGACCGCAAACTGCACTCCAGCGTCAAAACTGATAGTAAGGATGCGCGGTAAGGATGCAAGGGCCTTGGACGCCCATGCCGAAGCTTTTCGAGCAAGGCTGGCAATCGAAAGTGGTCGAGGATGGACTGAGGAGGCAAGCGCACAAGGGCACCCTTGGGACGTCACTCGTCCTCACTATCAATTTTGGCTGTAGGGCAACCGCCGCAGTGACAGAGCATCTCCCAACGCCTCGGCGAAGATGCCCAACCATGGAGTGGCCCAGGCACCAGCCAGGCTCGGAACCATCTGCGCCTCCCCCCGAGGTGGATGGGACCTAGGAACGCACACAAATACATTGACTCAAAAATCCCAGGATTCCCTTTAGTTTCCATACTTTCTGGATGCTCGTCTTCCCCTCCACTTCCCATGTTCTCCCACATTTTCTTGGGAATCAGCATTTATCAATGTCTGCGTCTTTCTTCCCCTCTTGATTTGTGACTTTCAGCCGGAGCCCCACTCTCAACTTCCGATGGCCGTTGTTGACCCCCTTCGCGGCAAAGTCCGCAGACATCTGCAAGCGCTCCTGGGCAGGTCATCTGTAAAGCAAGCGAGTCCTTTATTGCAGACGAGTGCCCCGATGAGCATCTTTGGGTGGAATGTCGCCGAAGATGTGGACGAATCAACTCCAAGCCATACCATGCGGCTCTGACATGCAGGTTTGCACCACTCGTGGATGTCATATACCCGCGTGCGTGTGACAGTATCGTCAGGACTCCCAAACGCGACGCGGCCCATGGCTGGCCCCAGCACGTCTGCGGCGAGCTCGAACTGGCCCTGCGAACATCATTCAGCTACCAACGAGAGCCCTTTGGGTGACCCTGGTTATTCATTGCAGGCAGATCCACGGTGATGATGGGGCGGCCTCGGCAGCTCCGAGGGCGCAACAGTCGTCGACCGCTTCGCATCGAAATCTGCAGCAGACGCGCACGGTAAGGCTGAGGCCGGCCTTGAAGGCGAATGGTGCACTGCGTGGCTCTGCATGGTGTACGCCTCCAGGGAGGCACTGGAAGCAACCACTCCCAAGGCAACCACACAGCATGAAATGAAATGTGATACACATGGGGAACAGATATCATTGACAAACGAAAAGGCCATACTCACATTCCACCCTGCAACGTCCTGTTGTACTCCCTGTCTCTCTCCCTTCATGCATGCGTCCGCTTTCGCGTGACTTTTTGGTTTTCGTGTATTTCTTGACTCTAGATATGCCTGTCTGGCTCTCGAACTCATTCCCCTATAGATACATGGATAGATGTATATATATATATACACACATACACACATATATATGTACTTGTAGGTCTATTGTCAGAATCGAGCCGCGTCCTCCCTCTCTCCCTGCCTCTTCCTTTCCCCTATCTTTCTCAAATCAACACCATGATGCTACCTCGGTCTATTCCCCCCGAAACTGTTTTCCCTTGAGGTTTCCTTCTTGCCTCTTGCTGAACTGGGCCGCCTCTTCGGTTCCGCCGCCTTGTGGCGGCTCCGTCGCCGCCCGTCGCCGCCCCTCGTCTGGGCCTTCTTGGGGGCCTCTTCGGGCGGTCTTGGGGGCCTCTTGGGCCGTCTTGGGGTGTCGGGAAGCCGAAAAGGTGAAAACGCCAAAATCTGTCTAAAACCTTCGGGAAGCGGTGATGTTTGCCTCTTGGAGCCCTCTTGAGAGTGCTCTTGCAGGCCCGGCGCCTTGTGGTGACCCTGTCGCCGCCCCTTGCCGCCCCTCGCTGCCCCACGTCTGCCAGCCCCAACACTTGTGACAGCGCTGCACCATACACGTCGGTCGGAAGATGTGGGTAGAAACATGAAGTAGGAAGGCGGATATCGTGGATTGGGTCCAGGTCCTCCCAGAGAATAATAAAACACAGCAACAGCATGTCGATTCTTGAAATAGGAAGGCGCTTGAAGTATATTGGGAAATGGAAATCCAAAAATACATATTTTCAACGACCGGCGTAGAATGTCTTGAACAGCTGACGCTACGGACCAACATGCTGACAATGTTGCATCGGCGATCCCTGGAAGAGCTGCGCTGGCAAACGAACGTGTGCGTACGCCTGGTCCTGTCCCGGGCCCAGTCACATGGATGACCCAACACAGCTTACACCAAATCTTTATATTCCCTTTGCTAAAAAAAAAAAATCAGGATCCTCTCCACGGGCTTTATCGGCCCACCTTGTTTTCGCATTGCAATTTACATACGATTCTGCACCATCGCCCATCCGAACTATGAACTCGTACCATCCCAGCCGAGCCGGTATCGCCCCCCCCGCCGTCCTCTGCAAACGAAGCTATGCGCGCGCACTCGTATATTAGAAATCCACACTTTTCAAGAATCATTGATACAAACATGTGGCGAAGTGCACACGCGCGCGCGTCGTCGCGCGCGCATGCCGAAATCCTTACCAAAACCATCGGTTTCGGAAGGAATTCAAGATCCAGTGTCCAAAACAACATAGAAATATTTTTGGTTTCGTAACGCGGATTTTTTTGCAGTATACTGAACTTGCGCGCGCGCTCTTGCGAATTCCTTGGGCAAACCATGCGCAGTTTCCACAAAAACAGAGGCGACCAAACGGACTTCGCGCGCGCATGTCGAAAACGTTCGAACGTTTTTACGCGCGTGCCGTCGCGGAAAACCTTTTGTATAACTAGCGACGAAGTGCACACGCGCGCGTCGTCGCGCGCGTTTCGAAAACCTTCAACCACCGTTTGGTTTCGTAGCGGTTTCAAAACCAATTGTCCAAAACACATTCAAATGCACATGGCTTCACAACATCAGTTTTCAAAGAAAAATTTGCGCGCGCGCACTTGCGAATTCTTGAGAAAACCGTACGTTGTTCAATCTAGCCATTGCGTTCTTCCAAGCGGGTCTGTGGCGCCGCATGCCGACATCATTCGCACGCCCTTGCGCGCGTGTTGGGCGGGCACGGTCCGTGTCCAATAAGACCATGCGGGCAACTATCGCGCGTAGGCCCCGCGCGCATGTCGAAGTCTCTCCAAAACCCTCATCACCGATGCGAAGACGCCGTCATCGTCGCCGGTGTGATCGGCATTGGCGCCCGCACTGGACGCGCATTCGTCGGTGCCTCGCAGTGAAATGCCCACTGGGATGCGCCCAGCGGTCTGCGCCACCGCGGCCACGTCGGTGGCGCCAAACTAGTTGGCCGCTGCGCGCTCTGCTGAGGTTGGCGCGGCCGCAAAGATGCATCATCCAACACCAAACATGCATGGCAATCGACACCACATGGGTTTTGCAAACCAAGTTGCGGGTGGCTGGGTGGGATGTTTGCAATAGCGTGGGAAATGTCAATTCGTGGGTAAAAACCAATTGCACCACACACACACATATATATATATATATATATATATGTATTGCACCGCGCCACATTTATTCACTTTTATAACAAAAGAATAACGACTCGCCCCCCCCCCATGGGGATTATCGATTCCCCTTTTCGTCTTACAAATTGCATATGGTGCTGCCCCATCTTGCGTCCGATATATGAATACGTACCATGCCATCTAAGCCGGTATCCGGCCCCCCCGCCATCCTTTGCAACAAATGCTACGCGCGCGCATTCGTTTAGTAGAATTCTCGCTCAGGACAGAACGTTACGAAGTGCTCACGCGCGCGTCGTGTCGCGCGCATGCCAAAATCCTTCGACAATTGTCGGTTTCGTAACATTTCAAAACAACGAGTGTCTCACAAACTTTTCATTTCCCTAAGCAAAAAGACCTGTGCGCGCGCTCTGGCGAGTTTTTTCGGAAGACCATCGGTTTTCAACCTGTTCATATGATGCTACCAAGCGGGTTTCGCGCGCGCATGTCGGAATCGTTCGAACGCCGTTGCCCGTGCGCCGTCACGAAAATATTGTGCAACAGATGGGACGAAGTGCGCGCGCGTCGTCGCGCGCGCATGCTGAACTCCGTCAGAAACCTTCGGTGTCGCAGCGATGTCGAAACCCGGTGCCCCAAAAACATTCACATGCCCATGGTTTCGCAACATCAGTTTTCAAAACAGCGTGCGCTCGCGCTCTTGCGACTTCTTGACGAAAACATGCGCTTCTCAACGTTGTCATTGAATTCTGCTGAATGGGCCTCTCGCGCCGCATGCCGACATCATTCGCACGCCCTTGCGCCCGTGCTGGGGGGGGGCACGCTCCATGTCAAACAAAAACCATACGGGCCATTCTCGCGCGTCGGCCGCGCGCATGTCGAACTCTTTAAACCTTCACCACCGGCGCGAGGACGCCGTCGTCGTCGCCGGCGTGATCAGCATCGGCGTCTGCATTGGCAACGCCGTCGTCACTGTCAACATCGTCGCCAGCATTGCTACTATTATCATCGTGTCTACCGTTGTCGACGTTGCCATGATAGCGCGCCCGCCTAAGTCGCCGACTCGCACTGACATGCCCGCTGGGATATGCCCAACGGTCAGCGCCACCGCGGCCACGTCGGCGGCGCCAAATTAGCTGGCCGCTGCAGGCGCGTACTTGGGTTGGCGCGGCCTCAGACATGCACCAGCCAACGCCAAGCAAACATCGCAATCGCCACCACATATGTTTTGCCAACCAAATTGAGTGTGGGTGGGTGGGATGATTGCGCGAGCAGGGGAGTGGACAACTCATTGCGAACAGAAGCTCATTTCACCAGATTGATTGCACCAGCTAGATTGCACCACGTGCGTTGCACCACCTAGTATGCACTGCAGAGATTCAAAGGTATCGCTGTTCGGGGCCCACCTTGGCCAACATCTGGTTCTGTCATTGCCAGTTTGTTTTTTTTTTTTTGTGTGTGTGTGTGTGTGTGTGTGTGTGTGTGTGTGTGTGTGTCTCTCTCTCTCTCTCTCGTCTTGCAAATCTCGCACGAGAGTGCTCCTCCCCGGACCCCCCTGGAGGTCTCCAGTAGCCTTCGCAAGCCCACGGGGGTCTCCAGCAAACTCCGCGAGGAGGGGTCAGAATCGCCAAACCTTCCGAAACCCCCATGGATCTCCAAGGGCCTTCGGGAACCCAACACCTTGATGCTCGACCCCTGCCTGGGCCCTCGACAAACGATAACGAGCCCACGAGGCACGGGATGCCATCTGCGCCCCCGGCGAACGAAAAACTACAGCACAGACGCGGACAATCCCGACGAGGGCCCCGCAGGGGATCACGACGGGGCTGCGAGGCCGCCATGGGGCCCCACGAATCGGGTCAGACGTGCCCCTGGCCCCAGAATCCAGATGCCCCCCGGGCCCCTGGCGCACCCCTCACGAGGCTCAGGTGGGGAGAGAAGAGCAGGGGAGCGAAGGGAGGAGGAGGAGGAGGAGGAGGAGGAGGAGGAGGAGGAAGATGAGGAGGAGGAGGAGGAGGAGGAGGAAGAGGAAGAGGAAGAGGAGGAGGAGGAGGAGGAGGAGGAGGAGGAGGAGGAGGAGGAGGAGGAGGAGGAGGAGGAGGGGCGGACGCGCCTGCAGCAACCTCCGAGAGCGGCGCGAGGGGCCACCGGCGACCGACTCCGGTCGGACCCTCGCGGAAGGGGGCCGCCGAGGGCGCCGCCGAGGGCACGACTAGGCCGCGGGGCGGCCGCCACGCGGCAGCCACCAGGCGGCCAGGCCCGCGCGCGAGGGCCACGACGGGCCTCAGGCCACCCTGCGCCCTGCCACGGGCCTCTGGGCGGCAGGGCCGAGGCCCCAAGGGCCAGCAAGACCCAGGGGCACACGTCTCGCCGAGACACGTCTCGTGGAGGTCCTCGCACGCCTCCCACGCGCAGGCAGGGCCCTCGAACCCGTCGCGCGGCTTGCAGAAAAAACCCACCCGAGTTTCCCGATCCCCATCCGAAGGCCCGAGCAGCAGGGGTCTTTGCCGCACGACTCGCTCTCCTTCGCGCAGGAGCTGGCGTCCAGAGCGTCGCCTACGGCGGCGGTGGTGGTGGTCTCGGCGGCGGCGGTGGTGGTGGCGATGGTGGTGGTGGTGGTCTCGTCCACGGTAGGGGTGGTCTCGTTCATCACGGTGGTGGTGGTCTCGTCCATGATCGTGGTCGCGTTGGCTGCGGCACAGAGCGGCCAGCGAGCACGCGGGTGAGCACCGCGAGCACTGCGCGGCTCACTGCGGCAGGGGTGGAGCGGCCGAGAGGCAGAGATTTATCAGCGCCAGCGCCCGTGACAGACCTGAGCCAAAATGTCTTGAGCGACAGTGGCTACGGGCCAGCATGTTGACAACGTGGAATCGGCAATCCTTTGAATGTGTTGCCCTGGCATATGAAAGCGCGATTACGCCTGGACATGTCATGTCCCGAGACGCTCCTCTCTCTCTCTCTCTTTCTCTCTCTCCCCCTGCCGGGGTTTAACCATCATGGTTGGACAATCTGGGTGGAGTGATGGAAGGTCCCCGCGACATGGACTCATTCACGCGTCATACATACGAGGGCGGATGAGGTAACCATAATACCGATGCCCTCCAACCGGGTCGTCTGGATAATCTAGCCGCATCCTCCTCCTTCTCCCTCTCCGACAACCTCAGAACACCTTCCAAGACATATGAGCATGCCTGGAATACTTCAATGTACGTGACAGCTTCACCAAGTCATACACGCATGTCTGGAATCCATGAAAACACTTGGGAAACTCCACTAAACCTCTGCAACCCACCGAATCAATCGTCCTACCCCGCTCTTTCGCAATGCACGTGCACGTCCATATGGTGGATTCTGGAAACCTTGAGCCAAAAAACGTTTTCATCTCTTGGAGGCGCATTTGTTACTTCGTCCGACTAGAAGGTCTTCCGCCGGCTTGCGCCGGCGGAGGCGGCCTCGTTTCACTTCCGCCGACCTTCCGCCGCTTTCCGCCGAGGCAGAGATTGCAATTCATTCGATCCTCGAAGCCAGGGCCCTTTTCAGAACGCCCCATATCTTCCTTCCCTTCTGATGATGTGGCGCCTGAACTCCTGTGAGCACCTGCCCGCTGTACGTCGTCACGCCGTGCAACTCTTCAAACTTGTACCCCGCTTCCGAGTCATGAATCCTCGTGGGGAAGGAAGAGGGTAAGACGAAACCGGGGATCCCGCGGATCTGGAAGATGTCTCGGGCGCCGCGACCTTCTCAGAGCGTTTCGGAACGCCCTGAGAGCGGTCTGGAACGCTCTCCTGGAACGGATTTATCGTCGTCCTAGCTTCGTCCGAGAGGAGGAGCAGCGGGACCAGTAAGAGGTTCTGAGTATTATCTTGAAGTGTATGACTGTGCTCTCTGCTTTTCTACTGTGTTCGGATGGGTCCAGGGGGCCACACCTTGGAGTTTATAACTGTGTTCTCTGCTTTCCTACTGCCTTCGGATGTTTCCGATGGGTCTTGGGGGCCTCCAGAGGCTGTCGGAGGTTTTGGACATCTTCTGACAAGCAGCGAACAACTTTGCGCGCGGACTCGCAAGGCGAACTCCCGAGTGAACTTTGCATCACCTGCCCGGCTGAGCGATGACGCGCTTAATCACTGGATGCGCCGCCAACGGCGTGACCGACGCTGGCCGACGCGCCCTGGCACCGACGATGCACAGGCAGGCAACATCACATGCCGATACCGATGCTCCCACTCTCCTCCTGGGACGGGCTCGAATGATACTCGGACGCCGGGCAAGGGCTGCTAAATCCGTGGCTGCTAAAATCGACCTCTGGGAAATTGTCCTCGTCCTTCCGGGAAGAGGCCCGTTGACTCTTTCGCGTGCCGCGCCTCATTCCGGGAAGCTGTTTTTTCCTTCCGGGAGGGCCGTTTTAGGAACCACGGTTTTAGCAGCCCTCGCCCAGCTTCCGAGATACACCGGATGACCAGGTCGCCTGGTCGGCCAAGGAGCTCGGTGTGTAGATGCCGCAGCTTCCCGAGCTGTGGGACGCCGGAGCGCCTACTCGCCGAGCTCCCTCGCCCCAATCCTTGGGTGGCGAGCCTGGTGGTGCACGTGGTGCATACGCCGCTCCCCTCCGACATTCGTCGTCTCTGCCTTCCTCCTCCTCCTCCTCCTCCGAGGAGGAGGAGGAGGAGGAGGAAGGGGGGAGGGGGAGGGGGATGGGGGATGGGGAGGGGGAGGGGGAGGGGGGAGGAGGAGGGAGGAGGAGGAGGAGGGGGAGGAGGAGGAGGAGGAGGAGAAGGAGGAGGAGCAGTGGAGGGGGGAAGGAGAGGGGGGGAGCATCGGTGGCGTGTGGATCGGAGCGTCTTTCCTCTCCTCCGAGGTGCGTCCCTGGGGTGCCGAGGCTGGCCCCACGCTGCCGCGCAGACCTGGAGAGCAGGGCTCGGGCGGCCTGGACACAGAGACGAGAGAGGCAGGGGCACTCGAACCGAAGGGGCCTCGGCTCCACGAGGGGTTGACCTCCGGCACCCGTCAGAGCTAGAGCGCGGAACCGAAGGAGGGCAACGTGCCCGACCTCGCCACACCATGCGTCGTTTGCACTCCTCCGCCTCGCCCTCCTCCACCCCCTCTCAGCCCCCCCCTGCATACCTCTGCCTGACTACTCCTCCGCCCTGTCCGCGTCATCCTTTCGCTCAATCTTCAAAGCACGAGTCCCTCTACCTTCCAAAGGTGGCCGCGAAATCCTCGTCGACCGTGGATTCTTATCTTGGAATGATAAACCTAGGTTCGTTATGCTCAGACGATACCTCCATTGGATGATTAGCCTGTCGATGGATCTGTGGCCCCCCCCTACCCGGATCATTTTCATTCTGTGATGATGCATCTGGGGTCGATCTTCCGATATAGTGAACGGTTGATCCCAGTCCAGTCTCATTCTCAGGCGCCCCCCCCTTCCGCCGGATCATTATCATTCCGGAATAGTTAATAAACCTTCCATTATGATTCCCAGAACATTACGAACCGCAGTTTATGATGTTCTAGAGAAAACGACGGACTAGGGTCAATCTTCTGACATAATGAATCCCAATTTGGAAGCGCGGGGTTCGGGGAAAATAATAATGATAATCATTCCGAATTTCGAAATCATGAATCCGGATTCAGAATATCCATCCGCCTATGGCTTAGGCGACGCCCCTGAACCTCTATTATTATCATTCAAGAACAGTAAACCAGGGTTCGTTTCCCCCCAGACATTCTTGACGCCAATCAATATTCTCAGAACATCAAGAACCCAGGTCAATATCTGTCTTTGGGTCGATCTGCCAAGAACATTATCAACCAAAATTGATAATGTTCCGGGGGGAACATGATGAATCCCAAACAATCTGTCCCGGAACATTAAAACCCAGGTTCGTAATGTTCCGGGGGGACAGTATATGAACCCTGGTCAATCATCCCAGAAGATTATACACCCAGGTTCATATCTTTTTGGGGTTCGTCCTGCACCTTCCTCCCTTCCACTTCTCTCCCCTTTGCTTACATCCTCAAAGAACAGCCACTCCTGCCAACTCTCCATGCACCCATCTCACACCCCTTTCCCCTTCCCACATGTCCCGTTTCTTCCTGCACCCCTGCCCTTAGTGTGCCCTGGAAACGACAAGGCTGTTTTTTCACCAGTTCCGTTTTGCCGTTATTTTGCCGGTTCCGACGCCGTTTTTTCACTGGTTCCGTCGCCGTTCTTTTACGGGTTCCCGCTCCGGTTCCAATCCTGGAGCAATTTTTGTTGCCGTTTCCGGCCGCCGTTTTTTTCCCGTTGCCATTTTCAAGGGGCACTTTTTCGGAAACGGTGAAAAAACGGCCCTGCCGTTTCCAAGGCCCACTCAGCCCCTGCCCCCTCCTTCAAGAGAGGGCTGGTCCTCTGCAGCTGCGACGCGGGAATGTCATGAACGACGCCGTGCGCGCACCCAGCCTGATGAGGGGGGGGCACGAGGCATCGGCGGGCGCCCCGAAGGACGAGGTCAGGAGGAGCATGAGGAGGAAGACGATGATGATAAGGTAATGATGAAGGGGCCCTGGGATACACAAATAACTACACACAAATAACCGGATTCCTCATATGTTCAATCATTTCTGGGTTTTTGTCTTCCACCCCACTTCCCATGTTTTTCAATATTTTCCTGGGAGTCGACGATTAATTGTGTCTGTGCGTTTTGCTTTCCCCCTCCTGAAATGAGGAGGAGGCGGAGGAGGAGGAGGATCCTCAGGCAGGGGGGCATCACCAAATGACGAAGGATGGTGGATGAGGGGGGAGGAGGAGGGAGGATGGAGCATAGAGGAGTTAGCAGGAGGGAGGAGGATGGATCACGAGGGAGCAGGCGTGAGGAAAGGAGGGTGCCCTGGAGCCCCCGGGACATCCTAGACACCCCTGGCGCCCTGACCCCCCAAGGCCCCCTGGACCCTCTCTGGATCTCCCTCGACCCCCTGGACCTCCCAGCGGCCCCCTCCAGACATGCCAGCCAGGTGTGCCCATGAGGAGGGCGAGGGTGACGACAAGACGACGAGAACGACGGCGACGGCAACGCGGCTGACGAGGACGGCGTCGGCGCCGAGGACGGCGAAGGGAGGCGACGACGCCGACGCCGCCGCCGACGACGCCGCCGAAGACTACGCCGACGTCGACGACGCCGGCGGCGCCGGCGGGGGCGTCCTCGCAGGGCTCCAGGGTGCCAAAGGCCGGCTCCTGGGCGCGCTCGGGGGGGCGCGGGGGCAGACGCCCACGGCCCCGTCGCCAAGGCCGCTGCAGGCCGCAATCGCCGCCGCCGCCGTCGACGAAGTCGTCACCACTGTTGTCGCCGCCGCCGCCGCCGCCGTCGTCGTCGTCGCCGTCGTCTGCTGCTCCTCGTGTTCGTAGTCCGGTCCGAAGCCTCTCTCCTCCTACTCCGCCTCCCCCCCCACTTCTCGATCTCCCCCTCCACTTTCTCGTTCTCATCCTGCCCCTTCCCCGCCTCATTCCCCTGCATTCCCCGCTTCTTCGTTCTCTCCGTCCTGATCCCCCTCCCCCCCCCCCCCCCTCCGCTTCCTCCTCCCTCCCCCCTCTCCTTCCCCCCCTCCCCCTCCTGTCCCTTCCACTCCCCCCCCCCCCG